TGGTGGTTCAGAAACTGATTTACTGAGAGAGGTCATACACAACGGATCTAAAAGCACTTTCGAACCTCATAATTTACAATTTATACCCATTCATAAGAATAAATTTGATACCTTGGAAATAGGAATCAGTGAAACCGATGGAACTCAAACTGAGTTCTTAAATTCAAACGACGAAAGCATTTTACAGTACCACCTACCAACATCACTTACAGTGGATACCATATCGTGGAAATCAATTCAACCAGTGAAAGTATTACCCCTATAGAATTTGTGATACCAGGCAGCCGCGAATATATCGATTTTAGCCAAAGTTATTTTCGTATGGATTTGATTCTTAAAACAACCGATGGAGGAAATCTGGCTGCTACATCGCAACCTTGGTTGGCTCCAAACGCATTTCACACCATCATCAAACAACCTTCCATCTATGTGAATGGGACTCTGACCACCAAACAAACAGACACGTACGCTTACAAAGCATATCTGAAAACCATACTCAATTATGGAACAGAAGATGAGGAAAGGATTCTCAGACCTCAAGGATATTACTCAGCTCTAAATTATCCACCTAACGACCTGACAGTCAATCAAATCGACAGTGGCACACCTCATGCCAACTACACAGCATTATCGAAAGAACGAAAAAAAGCAGTCGATGGTCTCTAGGAAATGAAAGAAAAAACCACGGGAGGAAAAACCATTCAATTGTTTGGGTTACCTCATGTAGATTTGTTCAATACGGGTAGAATGCTTATACCAGGAGTTGATCTCAAAATGAGGTTTACACTCAATGATCCTAAATTCTTCATGAACGGGATTGGTAAGGTAAACACCGACGTCAGGTTACAAGCTGGTGATTTGAAAATGAAATTCTATGCCTGCATAATCAAAGTCAGGTCAGACGTGTACAATAAAATCGCTACAGCTAGACTGCAGAGGAATCTGGATGTGTATTATCCCACCGTCAGATCAGAAATCAGGACCTATACCTTGCAAAACAATCACACTAACTTTGAAGCTACAGATGTGTTCAACGGAAGAGTCCCAGACCGTGTGGTGGTGGATTTAGTCTATCAAGATGCTTTCTCAGGCAATTACGCCTACAACCCTTTCAATTTCCCAAAATTCAATGTAAGTAGCATCAAACAGATTGTGGAAGGGGAAGAGTACCCCTATCAACCTTTGCAACTTATTGCAGCCAACGGTCAACTAGACATGTCAGGGTATCACAGACTTATCAGTGCCAATTGTTCAGCCTACCGAGGAAAATGTATGATCAAACCAGAACATTGGGGAGACGATCATCATACCACATTATACATGTGGGAAAATATCGCCTCTGGATGTGCAGACAGTGTTCAATTGAACCCTAAACAGGAAGTACATGTCAAAATCGCCATTACAAAGACAGCTGTCAATTCGTTAATCACCGTGAATTCGAAAACATGATGCAGATGAAACCCACGGGTAGTACTCAGTACGACATTTTCAGTCAAATGATTGCAGGAAGAATCCAGTAAGAAAAGAACAAGAAAAAGAAAAGAGGTCATGGAGTTCGTTCCATTTACTACAGAACAATTACTAAGCAATAACAAATCTTGCTAGTTGGATATATAAATAAAACACTTTTTTCAGTTTACACACAGAAAAAAAAATGATCATGTTATGTACACTGTTGCAGTTGCAAAGTCCATGTAGCATCATGGTCGTGGGACCTTCTAGTTGCGGTAAAACAGTGTTCGTGGAAAAACTGATGAGAGAAAGAAGTCGTTTGTTTACACCACCCTATAATCCTGTAGTATATTGTTACAGTGCCAACCAACCCACGACATTTGAAAGAATGAAAAAAAAAAACAAGGCATCCATTTCCATGAAGGAATTCCAGATACCCAATTATTAGAAAAATGGTACAAGAAAACAATGGGTGGAGTTTAGATTTTGGACGATCTCATGCGCAAAGGAAGTGACGACCATAGTCTTAAGATCTGTTTACCAGAGAATCATGTCACAGAGGTATCAAAGTCGTTTTCATGACTTAAGACATGTTTCCCAAAGGTAAACATGCCAAAACCATTTCTAGAAATGCACATTACATCGTTGCCTTCAAGAATCCTCGCGATCAATTGGGTGTACATATTCTCACACAACAAGCTTTTCCACAAGATTTCAAAGAGGTGTTGAACGTGTATAGAAATGCTACGGAGAGACCCTACTGGTATTTAATGTTCGATCTACATCCCAATTCATCAGATCATGAAAGGTTACAAACCAATCTATTGAGAAGCAAAGGATACATGACCGTGTATCAAAAAAGAACAGACTGAGAAAAAAATGAGTGGTAACCCCAGTCATAGGATCACCGTCTGCTAGCAGACGGGTGGCAGGCAGAGGAGGAGGAGGAGATGATCAAAAAGAGTCATGGAAGACCAACACATATAAAAAGACAGTAATACATCCCCAGGGAATAGATCCTCTAGTAGAGTAAGCAAAAAAAAATTGAGATGGATAGAATTCGTAGACAGAAAACGTTTTTAAAAGCCATTACTTCAGCAGCTAATAGAAATGCGAGAAAAGCTCTGATCAAACACGCCAACAAAGATCAAGTCAACGCCGTAAGCGAAATCGTGATTAATTTGATTAACTAAATCCTGAGACAAATTGGAAATCGAGCCATATCGCTTAAAAAGAGAAGAAAAGCCTTAATAAATCAGAAGGGTGGAAAATTGTGGAATGGACTAACCACTGTCCTCAAGACTTGTTGCCGTTAGACAGAGAGAAATATGGCTTATCAAATAATGTACATGATTCCAGCCGAAGATCCGGCCACGGTGAATCTTTTCAAAGGACAATTGACCATCAATCCTACATTGGATACAGCAGCCAAACTCCTGACTCGTAAAATGGAAATTTTAAAGAATCCCAATACAAGTCACGGTTTCAAAAAGCAAGCCATCAAACAGATCGATCCTGATATAGAACTCTACGCTAAAAAATGAGACAACTACCAGCATCGTTATCGGTCGATGCCGATCCTACCAAGTTGGTAAAATCTTTAAAAGACAAAGAAGGAGATTTGGTGACTCCCATACAACAGAAATTGCTCAAAAGAATTTTGAGTGAAGTCGCCCCAAAAGAGAACTGGTCACACCCAGAAGAGCACCCAAAAGAGAACTGACGACAATGACACCTCTAAAACCGTCGAGAATTCCCGTCAAGATACCCAAGAAACAAACCCCAAGCAAAAAGGTGCCATGGGATGAATTGCCATTTGCTCAAGAAGAACCTGAATTAGATATAGACGGTACTCTCAACAAAACTTTGAGAAAAATGCGAAAAATATCTGCCAAATGTTCCAAAACACCACAAGCCCTCAAAATCTTAAAACCGGCTAAAGGATGGACAAGTTGGGATCTTTCTGGGAAAAAAAAGAAGAAACAGAAAAGTGTTTTAGATTCTGTTGCCAAAAAATTGGCGTTTGATGATGATGATGATGATGATAACGAAAAGTGATGATGGTGCTTAAAAAATTTTATTTGTAACTCTGCATGTTTTTTTTTACAACTAGGTCAAACAAAGACAGGTCAATGTGCCCAACGTTCTTGTTGTAAATATATCTTTGTAATGTTCATAAAAAGTATAAATCCTTGTCAGTCTAGAAACGAATAAAGGGGTAAGTTTCTAAAGAAACTGTGGTGCTGCGTTAGTGAGAGAGTATAGCAGGTGATTTAGTGTTAACAACTGGGTTGAAAACGTAAATTAGCCACCGTAAAGGATAAAAAAGCTGACGTTTCAAGCATTAGCCCTTCGTCAGAGCGATTAGAGGAATTGTGGGTTGTGAAACGAAACTAGAAACTAGAAACTAGAAACGAGACTGTTCCATTCTATTCCGGAATAACAAGGCTTAAATTTCAAACAATAAAAAACTTTTTTTTTTTACGCAATAACTTCTTTGTGTTGTTCATAATATGTAAAAATTTTCATGAGTCTTGCCACAAATCTATTCCATTTGATCTTACTATAGTGAGGTTGAAACTTCACAAACTGGATTCTTTTGAATTTTTGATATGTAGCATAGTTCACAGGTAGGCGATCAGGTATAGTCTCGTACATCTTCTCAACAATCTTAGAAAATCTTTCTGCCATAACCACTTCATTATGATGCGCAAATAGAGGCCAACATACCCAATTCTCATTCTGCAATTTATACACCAATTGAATTGACGTTACAAGATGGCGTTTGGTAATGAGTTCTGCTTTGGGATCCGTACTCTGTTTCATCAAGTCTGTTTCCAAATGAAGTTCTTCTTCGATGCTTCTTTGTCGCGTCTTCATAGGTGTAATGATTTTTTTTTTCTAAAACACAATACACCATCTATAGTTTATAGTGTCATTCTTATCATATTTGACAGGTGATAAATATCATTTGTCAGCAGTGATGGGGTTGGGAACAGTATATAAAAGGGGACGTCTTTCATCACTCCATCACACATTTCCAAAGCATAGAGACACAATCAAGATCAGAATAAGACAAAGACAAAGGGGAAAAAAAGGTATAATACTTTTTTCCCCGTTCCCCCGAGAAAATAATGTCTTTCATCACTATCTTAATTGTATATTTTACATTGTGTATATAGAAAAAAATGGTCAGGCGAAACAGTAAACAAATGAGACAGGAAAGAAAAAAAACCGGATGTGAACGAAGCATGCAACTTTCATGTTGTCAATAATACATGCACCGATGGTGGAAGGTGAATTGGAAAAGAACATTGCAACATTTGTGGAATGTACATGTACTACTCGTTTCAGTGGTGTTCTTATCTGCGAGGATCTTCTAATTTCATGCACGAACTTCCCCTCTCTACTCGTTTCTTATCAAGTTGAAGGGATGTGTGATGTCAATAAAATACTTTTTATTTTTCAGATTCACGACATGATCTTCAAAGAAATCTCAAAAAAAAAAATTAAATTACAATGTGAATTAGAAACAAATCGTGATTTAAGAGTAGAATGTGTTTGAAGAGTATTACGGATTCTTGTCACTTGTAAACAACACGAGGTGTAAATTTTTTTTTTCACTGAAATAAATTTCATTTTTTTTGACAGCAAATGTGTCAATCATATCTGTTCTCTCTCTCTATAAATTTCCTTCCCCAACCCACTTTTTTTCATTCCGTACAACGCAAAAACTCCTACAGCTCAATCAAGAAACAAACCAAATCGTTGAAGAACTCCTACAAATCTTTCATCGGAAAGAAAAAAACCTTGCTCTCCTTCAACAAACAAATCAAATCTTTCAAAAAGCCCTGGAAATTTCTCGTAAGAAAAATATAAACTCTGAAAATATACAACATACCATAGAAAACATCTCAACATGGTCGGGAGACATCAAACAAAGCAATAAGGTATTACACAACTACACGACCATGCTCAGGGATAGATGTCACCGCATACAAGATCAATTGAATCAGCCGCAAAATAATCTCGCCAGACTGAACTGTATATAAACAACACCCTATCTCATTTCAACATTAACAATCCTATATCATGGCCAGAAAATGACAACATGCCGCGCGTAATTCAAAGAAAAGAAGAAGAAGAAGAATCATGGCCAGAAAACGACAACACGATGCACGTAAACCAAAGAAAAGAAGACAAAGAGGAGGGAAATTTGACATACAGAAAAAAATAGAAAAATTAGGAATTGAATTTCATCCCTTTTCACTCTCAAAACGTAAACGATATCAATACCTGGGTCCTGGAACATTTCTCAAAAAACGACTCGCATGCGGTAATCCTGGTATCAATCGTTTGGACAGAATCGCCAAACAACACAATACAGACTATTCCAATGCCAAAAACATACGAGACAAATGGATAGCTGACCTAAAAATGGTCCATGCCATTGATGCACTTCCTGGTAAAAAATCACCCATGGAAAAATTATTGCGAAATATTATCGCCGCTAAAAGAAAATTCAAATTGTAAATAACCCTCCTCACTTAGCCATAAAAACAACGCGCACCATCGATTGTTATTATACCAGAGTATACTCGCGTAACCTACAAGAAGACATCATGGTTCAAAGAAGAAAAAACAGATGGAGAGGAACAAGAAGAAGAAGAACATTGAACAGACAAAAAGGAGGTCTCCTACCCTTAGCAGCACTCGTTCCAGCATTCATCGCCGCATGTAAGGCCATCGGATTAGGTGCTCTTGGAGGAGGTGCTTCATTTGGTGCTAAAAAAGCTATTAGCTCCTCCAAAAAAATAAGAAAAATGTATTAGGAATATCATAACCAATTGTAAATAAACATCATTAGTAGTGGTATCCGCTCACTCAGGGCTGATTTTTTCGAATTCTCCCAACCTGGCCTATGACGTAAATGATGACGTCATCAATTCTAACTGGGAGAATTGATTTTTTGATCCTATGACGTCATCACTATCACCCTGACAACCTAAAAATGGATTGGGGTCGAATGAATATATATATGTCACGTTTCGATCTTTCCAATCCATGTGGTAACCTAAAAAAATGTGCATGCGTAGTTCTTAAAAATGACTTCCCAGTCCCCCTCTCGTGTGAGAGCATTAAACCCGTATCTCCCGTGGCAATGGGGCACGCCTCGAGGGGTTGGTTACCTTCGACTTGTGTTTTGATTCCCTGATTGCTACGAAAGGTGCGTGTGGGTATCATCGAGTAGTCATCTCGACTCATTGTCGCTGGGACTATTTGCACTATTTACAATTTTTTTTTTGTTTTTTTTTTTTGGAAAAAGAGGTGACATGAAGCTAGGTGACCGTCAGAATAAGATTAAGAGAGAAGTGAGCAGTTCAGTCACATGCGCGTCCTCTTCCATCCACTGCTCATACCCATATGGGAAGGTTCGGAACGTGTGAGGATTCACCATGCGCTTGTTGTAGACCAACTTGTATTTTTTTTGTTGGGCTGTGGTGGACAATTGGTATTCTTGGGCATTCCTCACGATTTTCTATGGTATGGGCACAGCAGTGACGCACGCTTGCCAGACTCCAGTGGCGAAGTCAAGTCTTCTAGCACGTCATTTTTGAGGATTTCAAAATTGACATATCTCTTCCCCAGACTATTGAGTGTGATGCCTCGAACTTGACAGTCCTCTTTACCTTTATGGGTCTTGTATCCATAGTTTTTTGGACCTCCGGAGGCAAATTCCACTATATAATCATCTGGGGGCAGTTCGTCCTTAAAGTCCCCCAGATAATCTCCCAGTGGTGGCTTGGGCATTCCCTGGGCAGAAAGGAACACAACTGAGTCCGTGTCTTTGTACAGTACTCGCTCTTGTAAGATGTTGAGAGCATCATAGAGTTTAAGACGAGCCTAACAGGTCGTGAAACAGGCCACAAATATGTTCAGGTTGGGTGAGATGGATTCGTCTTCCTCTTGTAAAGTGTATTGTACTTCCACCCGATCATCTGACTGTATACTAACGTACTTGATTTGTAGGGTGTCACTATTACAGAAGGTGGAAAATGTTTAGGGGTCATCAAATTCAAAATTGGAGTTTAACATCATCTTGGCCAGCGTATGCAGTCCAGGATTTTTCTCAATCTTTTCTGGGTCCAATTCGATCCCCTCTTTGTCTCTGTAATCGTCCAAGTGTCGTTGACGTTTCAGGGGATTGTTGCCCACGTGACTTGGCCACCCGCTGGCCTCTTCCTTGATCATGAGCCACGTGTTCATGTAGTCTTTGAAGAGCCCTCTGCGAGTGGTTGGGAAATGCCACACTTCGTGTACGCAGACGACTGCTTATCCCTTCTCAATAGCCTTGAGGAGTTCTGGTGTGCACCAGGTCCCTACGAGTTGGCGCTCCGAATCCGTGTGAGTACAGACGGGAGTACGCTCCAGAAAGGGTTTGGACATTTCCTCGGCCACGCAGGAGGCACAGGGCGGAAAGGTGAGCTTGCTGGCGTGACGGTAAGGTAGCAGAGGATGGAAGAGACCTTGGGGTGGAGGCACCGTGCATTTCGCTAGGCCGAAATAACGAGAAAGGTCTGTATGACCGGGTTGAGAGATGATCTCAGGATGTCCCAGAGGGTACTTACCGTTCTTGTTAACCCACGGGTACAGAGACATGAAATCGAAGTAAGGAGTCTTTTCCCCGTGAGTCTCATCTACCTTGTGGTAGAGTCGTAAGGCGTTCGTACGACCTCCGAAGAACGCATCCCGAGGATTTAGAGGGGCCGAGAGATTTAGGGCGTCAATGAACGCGCAAACATCTTCGCGTTCTCGTTTCAGTTTTTCCCATTGACACTCCCAAATTTCAACTACCCTGAAACCTCGATCACGCAGTAAGTCGAGTTTGACCTGCGTGCAACGGTACACGTCGTCAAAGCACCTATCGTTGAGGCGGCGGTGGGATTCGGTGCAATTGGAATAGCAGGCCGGACAACCATGCCATAAGCGGCCTTGGAACTCGTAGACAGTGATGGTTTTCTCATGGTATCTGTCTACCGTGTACCAGGAATGGGGAATCCAGTACTCACCAGAATTGCCCGCATGTCGGATTTAATCGTCTTCATCCGGTAACTGGTGCTGTTGCAAGTGGAGCCATTCCAAGGCGACGTGAGAATGATCGGTGTTCAAGCGCCACCTGTGGAGCGGTTCGTTGGCGATCGTGTCAGCTTCCATGCGGTTCTGACGGAGATCCCGGTTGCAAGTAGAGACGATGGTGATGTGGGAAAAGGGATTGAGGTGAGCCAGAGGCTCGAATACGGACTTGAAGGAGAGACACCCCTGCTTGAGGAGTTTGACGTCAGACTCGCAGTATTCAGTCAACTCCTTTTGGAAGTCGTAGATGATGTTGGCCACACGTTGTCAAGTATGCCACGCCTCAAAGTCCCGTCGAGCAGATACAGACATGATATCTGGCATGAAGTAGGAAGTGTCAGGAATGCGTCCGATGTAGGATTGATTAGAAAGGGTGTTGAAGAGATGCGGAAAATACCCCTTCTTGAGTTTGGTGAGACCGAACGTCTTGGGAAAGGCGGAAAGCGGCATTTGGAAGAAGGAGAGAGAATCTATAAAGGTGATGCGATCAAAGGTGACCTGCAACAACTTAGCACCATTCCTCAACTGCTGGATGATGCGGTGTTGACGATGGTACTCTTCGACGACAAAGTAACCATCGTACCCTTGGAAGTCATCCTTGTTGGAGTGCACGGTGGCCAAGCCGGCATCAGCACCACGCAGATGACGACCAGGTCTTCATTTGGTGTGACATTCCGCACGTTCTTCCTCGGGAGTCTTAGCCACTTGAATGAAGCACCGATGCGACAAGGCTTCGACGTAATGGTGACACAAAGGACACGTGACGTAGCCACACCGGTATTCTTGTTGCTGTTTGCAACCCACAAGGAGTTTGCAACAGTTGCCGCACTTCCTACGACTCATACAGACGCTCAGTTGCTGGTGATCCGCGGTCTTCCCACTCTGTGTCTTAGAAACGTGATTGGTGAAACACACTGTCCCATAGAACATCCGTCTACCTGAATCGCAGGTCTGCGTCGCCGGAAGACTTTGGCATTGGGCCTCGGTGTAATCCGGACATCCAGTCTGGAGACAGGCACTGCAGTGGTCCGGGTTGTTGTCGCAGGCACATTATGTTGTTGTCACATTATGCAGCACCGAGCGGACGAGGATTCCTTGAGACAAGAAGACAAGAGAGGAAGAAGACAACGAACTAACAAACGACGAGAAGCGGTTTCTAATCCTGAGGAATCAAGTCATGTGCGCCTTTACGAACTTTGTCAAATTTTGTTACGATGTAGGGTGCAATTGTGAAGAGTGTAGGGTCGAAGAGGAAGAAGAAAAATGTAGCGTTTCGAATAAGGACGACGAGAAGAGAGAAGGAAAAGAATGAGACTTTTGTTACAACACTCGTTTTTTATTGTTCTGTTTTTTTTACAATGTTAATGAAACCAAAAATTCGGTAACGGTCTAGTTTCCATCCGAATGGTTCTCTGAAATAAATTGTGTAATTCTTGTGTCATTTGAAGAGTGATGCGTCTGCTTCCCACGATGGCGGTGTTTTCATATTGTAGATGGGACAAATCTCTGTTGCGAGTAGTCGAATTGGTACCACTGGTCTGTGTAGACACACACGGGTTTTTGTTGCTCCAACGCCATTTGCACGCTCCAACCGGTTCCTCCCTGTAACGTGTGGGGTTTAGTTGTGTCGAAATGTCCAAAGGCCAGCACGAGATTGGTATCCCTCACTACCCAATAGTTTCTCTGTAACAGTCCCGTCTTTAACACGTTATTGGATAGAGAGCATTGCAACGTCTTGTTGGCGCGTAACACGTGCTGCAAACCCTCCTGCAACATGCTTTCCGTCAAAGGCGTGATACAAACGGCGCGGGAGTGAGTGGGCGGAATGATGATGCAAACACTCATGTCATACCTTTAGGCCAATTCCTCAGTGAGAGCATCCAGACATTCGGCGCCCCCAGTGTATAGGACATGCCCATTCAAAATACCCACTTCCATGGGGAACGTCATCCTTAGCATCTCGTAGGCGCAACAACTTGAACAACTGGCACAGTAAGTCTTCCCAAGCTTTGTCTCTTTCCCTCTCCGACCGCGATCTGGAATAAGAGTAGAATGATAGCATAATGACGTTCGATACTACAAAACCTGCTTTCTTTTATAGCATGGACATCACGCACGCTTCGACGCATGACCAAATATGGTCATTGGAAGAGCACGTACGACGCAGTAGCCTGCCATATACGGAATAGAACGATGCATTGCCCTACCATTTATGGAAAATGACCTTTGATACCACTCTATCTAAAAATAGGAAGGGTATTGTTCTCAGCGGTATAAAGGTGACCTTCATTTACCTGTCAAGACATTCGTTGTGGAGCAGGCAAGCAACAACCACCAGAAAATAAAATGGCCGACAAACAGAAGCTCACCAAAGGAAAACGAGCTGTCCCTTACAGCAAGAAGAAGGTGCCCGCCAAGAAAACCGCCAACGAGGAGCCTGCAGATGAACAGTACGTGGACATTGACCATTACGATTACACTGAGAAAGATTGGAAAGTGCTTCCAGGTCCTGGGCGGGGAAAAAGAAGACGAGAGACTGTAGTACCCCAGCCTTCCGCGAGTGCTCTACCCTCTGAAGTACCAGAAGAAGAAGAAGTAGTAGAGGAAGGTGAAATCATACCAGGCGTTGAAGGTACAGGTACGTTTTACTATTCCTCTTTGGATGAGTTATTGGATAGTGTGGAGGCAGATTCCTGGTTCCCATGCCCCATTCTTATTACCCAAGGAATGGAAGAACGCAAGTCTCTAAAAGAAACTTGTACGGACGTGTTCCTTTGTTGAAGCGTGTCTTCTTGCCCCGTGTTTTGTCCCACCCAAGACTACCAAAAGTATTACGATCTGTGTCGTGCCCAAGGTCACGATTGGTTTACGTTGGACCGTAAAGATCGAATGGTGTGCGAATGTGGTCGAAGCCCCACGCTGTCCATTTCCATGTCTGAGAAGAACAGAAACAGAATGTATCTGAGGTGTGCATTTAGAGAGTGTGACCTCTTTGCATGGTAGAACACGAGACCCTTTAAGAAAACCCAAGAGATACTCATGGCTCACCCCGAAGGCTCTCATTGACAGGTGAACGGTACTGCTGTGGAGTTCCCTGATACCATGAAACGAACCCATCCCCATTTGCACGGAGACTTTAGGGTTAGGAGTTAGGGTTAGGGTTAGGGTTAGGGTTAGGGTTAGGGTTAGGGTTTAGAAAAAAGTATCACGACTTTTGTAAAGGCGTATGTCAACGGAAACGCTCCATTTTGTTTTTTTACGATTAGGGTATGAAACAGATGATGAATCTCCTTGTACAGACTGTTAACGTTAGGTTTTTTGGTTCATTGTTACAGATGAAATTGGAAAAGATGATTTAGTGGACGTAGGTGTGTGGTGCGGACCTACATTATTCTTAAAAATTTGCCACCGTTTGAACGACACGCCCCAAACGAAGGACGAATTCTTAGATGAAGTGTGCAAAAGAATTTTTTCATAGTTTTTTCATTTGTTTGTTTTCGTTAGGACTACGATTTAAAGAAGGTGTACCTTCCGATGATGTTTTGAAATGTATTGCCAAAGTGTTGGCCCAGGAAAAGGTCGAAAAGGTGACTCGATTCTTCTCTATTTTAATGGACCGACCTTACGACGATGTATTGAAAGAATTGTTAGAGGAACATTAAAAATGTGTGAATATCATGTCTTGGTTCATTTCTTTTGTATCCTATCGTGGGTAAAAGATGTAGTGGCAATAGACCCTCACGAAGGAAGAGGAAGAAGAGAACTTCCCAAAAGGGTGGGGCGTCTGTATGTACCATGAATAGAATTTTAAATCGAGGACCCTCCGCTACAGATAAAGCAGCTTACGTGGTTAGTATGTTGCTGTCTGGACCCGCCCCAGGATTCGGCACCTTGGGAAGATTGCTGGGTAAACAAGTTCTTAAGGGGGTCATGGACAATGTGAGTCATTATCGAGGTAGACGCTGATCATGGAAAGAGCTTTCTATTACCTACAGTACAAACTCTCACACTGGGTGTGCATGAAGATCAGGGACGTTGTGTACAAACACGAAACCCCATATAAACTCATACCGTACGATTGGGTACCTATGGGCTTGGAACACCGTGTGATTTGCAATGAAGTCCTCCCACACAGGTTTCCTATACATACAAGGATCTTCCACATCATGACCTTTATGAGATTCTACAAAGGAAGATATACAAAATACGTTTGGCAGCAATTGTACCTTCAAACACTTGGCTCCTCTACTACGCCTACATCCTCTACCTCAAGTTGCTATGTCTAAGAAGATGGAACGCTCTGGGAAGAAGAAGAAGAAAGTAGAGGACTCGGACGATCAAGATTATAAGAAGAAAGTCTTATTGGATTATTCTACGCCTGGGGTGGTGGGTAATCTGGAGGGTGTCTCAGAGTATGCCAAGGCTCAAAAGATATCGGTCGGGCATGTCAAGAGAGAATTGGAAAAGAATCTTGCCTATACTCTACACAAACCCAGAAGGCGGCGCGGTGCCTTTCAACCCCTTCTAGTGATTGACATGGACGAACAATGGGTGGCCGATCTGATAGAAGTACAATCAATTGCCAAACAGAATAAGGGATATCGCTATTTTCTCACTGTCATTGATGTGTTATCCAAATATGTGTGGGTGCAATTGCTTAAGAAGAAGACTGGAAAAGATGTCACCGAAGCCTTTCGACGTGTACTCACCCAAGCCGAAGGGAGAAAACCTCTTAAATTACAAACAGATGCGGGTAAAGAATTTTAGAACGGAACATTTCAGGAGCTCATGAAACGAGAGAAGATCCATCATTTTTCAACGCACGGGGATGCCAAGGCTAGCGTCGTGGAACGTTTTAATCGCACCCTGAAATCCAAACTCTACAGATATTTCACGGCCGCCAACACCCTAAGATTTGTAGATGTGTTACCCAAACTCGTCCAACAGTATAATCACACGTATCATAAGAGCATAGGCATGGCTCCTGCCAAAGTCACACTTTGGAACGTGCAAGACGTATGGCATCGATTGTACGACGGACGCTTGGAAGAAGGGAAGAAACGACATCCCGTGTTTAAAGTGGGAGATAGGGTATGTCTCAACAAGAGATTCAGATCTTTTAAGAAAGGCTATCTACCGGGATGGACGGAGGAAGTGTTTGTTGTATGTCAAGTGGTTCCCTCTTTGGACATCATGACCTACAAGGTGAAAGAGTTGGACGACACTCCTTATCAGGGTACCTTTTACGCCAGGGACTTGCAAAAGGTGACAGTGGACAAATCCTCATTTTTTAGGGTCGAAAAAGTGTTGAAACGTACCAAAGATAAATTGTACGTCAAGTGGAAAGGGTATCCTGCCAAATACAATAGTTGGATCCATAAAAACGACGTGAAATAAAAGATGCTATTATTTGTATGTGTGTTGTTATCATGAGAGGAGGTACGTTGAAACAATTCGTGGTGTACACGCCACCTCATCACCCCATCCCCCAAAAGGGAGGTAGTTTGTATCGGTGGGAACGTCCACCACCCTTTGTGGGTACATGGTCTGGTACTCATCATCAAGTGGGGAGTGGTAAGAAAGAAATGGCACAGGATTTTTTACAAGAAGTGAGGAATGGTATTAAAAGTGGTGTTAAGAAATGATCCCTTTCAGAAGTGAAACGTGGCGTAAAGAGAGGAGCTAAAACGGCCCTCAAGAACGAAGTCAAGAGAAAAGTGGCCAAAAAAATCAAAGACATCTTCGCAGAGTAAACTAATCATGTCATGCGTCCGTCAAGTACGTAGTAGTCAGCCTAGAATCGGCGTGGGGACCAACGATCGAATCTCTACCATTCTCCATAGGTATTCGCATAGAAGGAAACAACAATGAGGTGGATTTTTAGTACGACGGGCTCCTTATAAAACATCCTCCTTGCAACGTCACCGTCGCAAACGCACGAGGAGGCGACGACGATAACATGATAAAGTCAGCGCAACATAACCCGAATCCCTTGCTCTTTCAAGTTCCACCCACCGATCTCAGTACAGTGAGTTCGAGATGGGTGAAAATTCCCCCTCTGACGTCGAGTATCACACCCATTCAAATCTACATTGACAAACAATCGCATCTCATTGATTTGTTGCGATCGTTTGAGGAAATAGATGTGGGATTCAAGACGACTGCAGGTGGCCATCTCACATCCCGCAACGACGATGTGGGAAGGATGACTTCTTTTGCCAACAATTTGGCCCATACTCTTTTCAAGCAGATCAATGTGAAATGTAATGGAATGCTACTCACTGAACAAGTGGACATGTACCATCATAAAGCCTATCTCCAGACCCTACTGAACAATGACAGAAATGATGGAGACACCATCTCACAAGCCACAAATGGAGGTTGGCGAAACAAAATTGATTCTCCCGTCACTTACACAGCAACGAACGTCAAAGGCGACGATGCCGCCTTTGCAGCACTCTCCGACAATCGGCAGGCTAGCATCAAAGCCCAGAAAAAGGAAGTGAGAGATTTGTATTCGGAAGGAAAGAGGCGTATTCTGAGTATGAAACCCTTGTGGAAATTTTTCATCAAGGTAAATGGATCGTACCCCGCACCAGTTTTGAAATGGATTTCTACTTGAATCCAGCATCCATCTTCTCTAATGGAGAGTCTAACCCGCCCACCGAATCTGTGCGCGTGCACGCTGACGACGTTAAACTTTCCTTCTACATGTGTCTCGTGAAACTCAATCCATCCACCTACATGGATATGATGGGCCTCTTGAGTAAATCTGCAGCCCTCTACCCCTTCGTGAGGACGGAAATGAGACAATACCCCCTGGACAACGGAGCCACCTACAAAGAAATCAACAATCCCTTCAATAACAAAGTCCCACAACGATTCGTCCTGGCTATCGTGGAAAACTCAGCCTTTCATGGTAGATACGATCAAGATACCTTTGCCTATCAACCAGCAGGCATAGAATACATCAAACAAATTGTAGATGGGGAAGAATATCCTTACGAAACTCTGGAATTGAACACGGGGAATGGTCAAAAGGATTTGAGGGGGTACTACAGATTCTTGGAAACCACAGGATGTCTCCAGCATGGAAGCGGAAATATGGTGCGATTCCTGGATTGGGGGTACGGTAAAAACGCCACCATCTTCGCGTTTTCAAACGTGCCTAATGGTAGACACGACGATCCCATCCTATTGCCTAGACCCCAAAGCACGATCAATCTACATTTGAAATGTGCTGCCCAACAGAGTCAAAAGACCATCATCCTCATGTCCCAATATGAAGCTTTAATAGAAATTGACGGTATAAATTCCACCACTTCCATGAATGTGCGGTAAGCGGACAGAACAGGATGGAATTTGTGTGGTTAACCACAGATCAGTTGAATGCTGTGGCATCAGGGGACATACACTTGAGGAATGCTTTTGTGGGAACCATGGCGTGTGATACGCATACATCATGAATACGGATCCTTCCCACTTACCTGGACAACATTGGTTGGGCGTGTGGACGGAACACGACACCTGTGAAGTATTGGATGGTTACGGACTTCCTTTTTTGCATTACGAACATTTGAAACCTTTCATTGCGTGGCTCAATAAATGGTCGTGTGTGCGCAGAAACGATGCACCCATACAGTCGATCAAAACAGCCAGTTGTGGAGACTATGCTCTTGTGTATTTGATGTATAAAGCGAGAGGTAAAAGTACGGATGAGTTTCTCGAGTTATTTTCTGAACATGATCTTGCAAGCAGCGATGACAAAGTAGGAGACATCTTGGAAGATATTGTAGAGAACAAAATAAACGCTTTTGAATAAAACACACGTGTTTCATTTGAATCGTGAGTTGTGTAGAGCAAGGTTTTACGTTTAAGTCTCCTTTATGGTGGCCCATTGTTATCATAGCAAAACCAGCTGGAGATGCTTCCTTAATTTTAAAAGAAAGGAGAATAAAGCATACGGATGTGATAAAAAAATTAAAAAGAAAGAACTAAAAATTAAAAAAAATAATAAAATAAAAATTGGGCAAAAATATTAACAATAAAAATTGATGACCTATTTAAACAAAAAAAGAATAAATAAAAACAAGAATAAAAATATAATAAAAATATAAAAGTAAAATTTAAAAAAAAAATAAAAGTAAAAGTAATCCACAAACAAAAATTGAATTAAAAATAAAACATTAAAGAAAACAGGAGCTACTGAAGAAATTCAATAAAAAAAAGTAAAGGAAGATTAAAAATTAAAATACATAAAAGTTAAAATCAAAGTGAAAAAAATTTAAAAATTAAATAAGATAAAAACCTTTAGTACAAATGCAGAATAATTTTAAGTTTACTATGATAACGCTGGGCCGAAAGGAACATCACGATATTTGTTTCCAAAATGAAATGTTCGAAAGCAGCCCATTGTTATCATAGCCTGCGACAGATAAGGTCAGTGGACTCCTTTCAGAAGGGCGGCTCGCATTTCCTGATTGGTAACTTGTGCACGTGTGGGTTGTGGCTTGCACTTTTCTCATTCAAACAACAGTAAAAAGTCCTTTTATCGAGATGAATAGATGACAACAAACGTGGAACCGTTTGCAAGATGAAATGAAGGCGAAGAGGAAGCGACCAGACCCTCGCAGAAAAGGCAAAAGCAAGAAATCTGGTTCTGCTCTGCATGAGTTAATTGTGCAACGTTTAGCATCTGAGCCAACAAACAAATTTTTAGGCCAGTCCAACCAAGAGAGTTTGTGGCGTTTCCTTGCGAGGATCTTACGCTAGAAAACTTGAAGAAGGCTCTCGCTGACCATTACAGTTTGCCAGCAAGCCTATGTGATGTTCTTGTCACAAACAAGGGACCCTCTTTTACCAGCATGGAACAGATCCCTCATAGAGAGGACAAGGTGAGTTCGTGTAGGAAGCATTTAAGCTTAGGTAAATAAACAATAGCGCAAAAATATTCTCGGGTAAAACTAGAGGAAAACTGTATTAAAGGACCAATGTCCAACTATATTCGCGCCTGACAAGGCCTCTCAACTTGAGACTTTTGAAAACTATTTAACATGTAAGAAACTCTGTTGGCTTTCAAAATAGTTCCATTCCGTTTAAGATGTTCAGCTTTATTATTCAAGATTTGTATATCGTGACAATATAAGTGCTTATCGTTTAAGGAATACGGAAAACAAATTAGTTCTTCCACCACCTCGAACTGATTATCTTAAGAGAAGCTTTTTGTACAGCGGAGCTCACTTGTGGAACGACTTACCCTTAGACCTAAGACAAGCATCTTCACTGACCGATTTCAAATCTAAATTAAGTCGCCACAGTTTAAAGTAATATCTTAATTTTAAGTAAATTTTAGACACGGCCTCCATGAAAAGCAGATTTTTATTTGTTTCTTTTATTTGAATTGTTATTATTAGATTTTATTAGAGTTAGGAAGATAGATATACCTTTATAGATAATTAACAACTGATGGAAATACCGTGTATAAATAAAGTTATCTTATCTTATCTCTTTATCTTATCTATCTTATGACCCACCCCCTATTTGCACCAGCCCCCCCCCCCCTTCTAAATAATGACCGGTCCCTTACAGACAAAATTCAGATCCCCTCCAAAAGAGATTGGACTAGGAATGACTCCTGGTATTACTGACTCTCACTATCACGGACACTAAACGACGTCCCGAGGGTGTCTGTTGTAATGAGAGTTGACTGTATCTCTCTGTGTTTCTTTTGGGAAAAGGGCATGATATATTGACTTGTCACCATGTAAAAAAAAAACAACAAATATAAGTTAGGTTGACATCAGGTTTTCTGTTCTTCACACAGGATTCAAATTCTTGAAGAGTTTGAATGAGAGGTCTGAACAAACTCTCCTTGGCTTAAGTTTTGAAAAATGTCAGTTATGACACTGTCAATAGCTAAATATGATGCCCAACCCAAATGAAATCTGATCGGTTCCGTTACTTTTATTTGACATACATGTAGGTGTATCTGGTGCGGTTTGTAGTTGGCCAAGATTATGGGGAGGACCCCCATAGCTCTGACCCAACACATGTACATGAAGGTTTCTCGGATAACTCCTCATTCCAAAGAACAACTGGTGCACCATCAGCACCAGTGAGAAAGGCAGCTGCGCCAAAACCAAAAGCAGATTATGGAAGGTTCTCAGTGACAACCCAGTTTCCTCCATCCGTATCCATTGCCTCATTGCTGGATGCTGGGAAGCTCATCAAACCAGTCACCAAAAACAAGTGTCTCCTAACCTTTGAACAATTTGGCATTGCCTCCAAAGAATGGACAGATGCAATGGAGGTAGAGTGTGCAGTAGATTCAGAGAAGTTTTCCTCAGGTGGATTCCGTGATACTTACCACTGCAAGCTAACTGGCAAATCTGCGGGCCAAAACATTTCAAATCGCTGGGTTATCAAAACGTACAACAAGAAGTCCAAAGAAGTAATTAGTACTCAATTAAAAACTAATATAGAGAGCCATTGTCATAGGCAAGTACAAATGCATGAGGTAGCTAGGCACTTAACAAAGAAGTTCCAGTCACAGGCACCACAAGAAATGGGAAAGTGTTTTCAGTACAACCATGTATACTACACCACAATAGACAAGAAACCAGCGACAGTTGAGGAATTTGTTCCAGGCCTCTTTGCCAAACTGATTAATAATAATGGCAAGAAGGCCGATCTGCCTGAAGATGCAGATAAAGATTTGAAAGATTTGTTGGCCAAAGCAGAGTGCCTGGTTCACTATACCTATGAATCATCCACCCAACAACTCATGTTACTTGATATACAGGGATCTGGCTACTGTTTAAATGATCCCGAAATAGCAACAAATGATATCATGGATGCCAGCAGCTTAGAATACTATTTCTGCTGTAGAAATTATTCATCCGTGGGCATCACATGCTTTCTCAATGAACATGAATGCAATGCCTACTGTAAGATGATGGAACTAAGTCAGTAAGAGAATGGATTACTGGAGCATAATTCACCTTCCACCTTTTATCAAGATAGCAGCTCAGTGACTGCCTTTCAAGTGTTGTGCTGTTAGTTTAAACCTTACTTCATGCTTCTCACAGACCATTGGGAGGAGAACATGGCATGGAACAGTTCATTTAAGATAACAAATCTTTTTTATCACTGGCATTTTTTACAACGTCCATGAATGTTACTAAGTCTGTAGTTCTTTGTGCTTGGACCATTTGTTGGACAATTTTTTTTACACATTTGAACTACCGGTATAAGGAAAAAAGTTACAATAAAATGCACTTTTATGATGATGCTGATGGTGAGGACTCTTTGTACTTCTCCTTTAAGAAAAGATAGGCATCTGCTGCCTCGGCTGGCTTCACCCCATCAATATTGGGAATAATTCGTTCACAGCTCTCTCTCAGAGTTTTTGGTAAGTAGTCATCTCCAACTGACTTGACACCTGATAATGAAGCAACCTCATCCAGTGCTTCTAAAGTGACTTGCAAACCTATACAATACAGGAAATTGCACTTGATGAGCACTTGAACATTAACCGTTAATAACTTGTTAGTGAGTGGATCAACATGTCTGCCCTGAAAATATCGGTATTGGCCACTCTCTCTCTATTGAAGTATAATATTGATGATTTAATCTCTCAAGCTATCCATAAATTAATTTAACTATCCCCGCTTTTTACACATTGTTTCTCATTGAATTCATTGAATCGATACTAAGTGGTGGGTCATTAATTAAAAAAGGATTCGTATTGGTCCTGGAAAACCTGAAAAATCCTGGAATTTTATTTTCTTATTTTCAAGGACTGGCCAGGACTGGAAAGTCCTGGAAAAAGAACACTGGTCCTGGAAAGTTCTAGACATCTGTTAAACTCAGGAAACCATGTTTTCTTAAAACAATTTTTAAATGTAAACGTATTTGATTCCGAAAAAATGTAATCTTCTGCTAAGTGTAGGCAGACTCCAGGCATACCCAGGGAAGTCCCGACTAGCAAAATCCAGTATCTCCTGCCTGGAATAGTTTGCTGACACATAGCGCTCAAAGTCGCTCTTCAGTTGCTCGTCACTCTCCCACTCTGAGCAACGAATGCGGACCGCCATTTTGAGAGAAGAGAAAGAGAGAGGAAGCTGGGAACTAGGTTGTCCACTGACGTTACGTGTCGCAGGCTATGATAACAATGGACTGCTTTTGAACATTTCATTTTGGGAACAAATATGGTGATATTCAGTTCGGCCCAGCGTTATCATAGTAAACTTGAAATTAATTTACATTTGTACTTAAGGTTTTTATCCTATTCATTTTTAAAAATTATTTTTCTCTAATTTTAACTTTAATTTATTTTTTAATTTTTAATCTTCCTTTACTTTTTTTATTGAATTTCTTCAGTAGCTCCTGTTTTCTTTAATGTTTTATTTTAAATTCAATTTTTTTTATTTTTTGGATTCCTTTTACTTTTATTTTTTTATTTTATTTTTATGCTTGTTTTTATGTATTCTTTTTTTTGTTTAAATAGGTCATCAATTTTTATTTTTAATATTTTTGCCCAATTTGTTTTTTCTTCTTATTATTTTTGTTAATTTTAGTTCTTTCTTTTTAATTTTTTTATCACATCCGTATGCTTTATTCTCCTTTCTTTTTAAATTAAGGAAGCATCTCCAGCTGGTTTTGCTATGATAACAATGGGCCACCATACTCCTTGGAACATTTTGGTCGTGGGACCCTCCAACTGTGGAAAGACCACCTTCCTAAAACGTCTCTTATTGGAAAATGAGGACCTTCTCGCCACGCCCTCCAGAAGAATTGTCTACTGTTACGGGTCGTGGCAACCGACCTTTGACATCCTAAAAAAGGAAGGCGTGACGTTCCACGAAGGTGTACCTACCCACGAACAATTGAAAGAATGGTTTGGGGACAAAAAAGGGGGTCTCTTGATCTTGGACGATCTCATGGCCGAAGGAGGAAACAACAAAGATATCCTAAATCTCTTCACTCAGTATTCGCATCACATGAACGTCACCGTGTTTTATCTATGTCAAGACATGTTCCATGGCGGAAAATATGCCAAGACCATCTCTAGGAATGCCCAATACATAGTGGCGTTCAAAAATCCTAGGGACCAGGTGGCCTTGCGCACGCTCTTACTTCAAATGTATCCCACGACTTGGAAAGACCCGTTGGAGCAATATAACGCATGTACGGAATGTCCCTTCAGTTATTTATTGTTGGATGTACATCCCGCTACTCCAGACAATAGAAGATTACTGAGTCACTTATTGAAACATGAAGGTTGTATCCGTTGCTACAGATAGAGAGAGAGAGATAAATGGATTCCAGTCCCATTCGAATATCCAATGCAAATCACGACATAAAGAGAGATGAAAAAGTATGGTAAAAGAGATGTTGAATGAAAAAACATGTTAAACAATAAACTATGACAAGGACCTTCAGTAGCCATGACTGCCCCTGGAGTCCCTCAACCCCCCGTCGACGACGACAAGATGGATGGGTTACAAGAAAGACTGTTGAAAGAAATTGGTAAAATCCATAAATACCAACACACAATCCATTGTCCCCCAAATCACCCAAACACCTTTGACAGTAAAGAAGGAGGAGCCAAAGCCTAAGAAAAAACGTAAACAAACTGAAGTCAAACGATTGAAAGAGTTCAGTTCGTGGGAACCTTGGGAAAAGAGAGGATACGATCCCTATCAAGCATTTCAAGATGACGAAGATCAATACACACCAAGCACGAGCCAAGGGAAGGGGAAAAAGGGGAAAGGGAAGAGCAAGAAAAAAAAGACCAGTTAAAAGATGTCCTCAATCTGGAGGTGGTGGTCATCATCCTTCCAGGAAGAGAACACGCCAGCAAGGTGGAGGATTGGACATTCAAAAATGGAACTCTAAATTGGGAGTAGAGTTTCACTGGCTGGGGTACCAGTACATGGGGTCGGGCACAAAACTAGAAAAAAGATTGAAACGCGGGGATCCTGGATAAACCGTTTAGATCAACTCACCAAACAGCACAATATCGATTATTCTCGCGCCACAAGTCACAAAGACAAATTGATAGCCGATCGTAAAATGGTGGCGGTATCGACTGATTTCCTGGAAAAAAGTCAATGACCAAAAAGATTGTGAAAAAGATCATGCAGGGTAAAATAAAATTAGGTTTGTAACGTACCCATGTCTCATTCTTGACTTTACTTAGCGACGCAATGAATACCTCCTACCCTGAATCCGGATTTTACGTCACTCTTCCCAGCAACGATAGCAGCATTAAGGCCTTTCCCGAAAACAAGAACATTCCACAAAACAACTTCATCTTTTTGCTCATTGGTTCGAGTACATGGATTTGGGAAAGGAATTGCAAGCTAAGGGACATACTCTAAGGGACATCATGATTACTTACACAAACTGGAGAGAACGATACCAAAAAACTGTCCCGTTATTAGTTGGCGACATGGAGGCTTGGACGCATGTGAAATATTCTCCCACATGGTACAGTCTAGTAGCTAAAAACACGCATGAAACGCGACATTCCAGATTCCTAGAGCCATGATGGAATGCAATAGGAAACGGTATTGTTCTCTCCGCGTCCTCTCATATATGGGAAACGACCTTTGAGACCACGCCATGTAAAAATAGGAAGGGTATTGTTCTCTCCGCATCCTACCATATATGGGAAACGACCCTTGATACGGCGCCATGTAAAAATAGGAAGGGTATTGTTCTCTCCGTGTCCTATCATATATGGGAAATGACCCTTGATACGACGCCGTGTTAAAAATAGGAAAGGTATTGTTCTCTCCGGGGATGCGGGTACCCCTTAAGAGAATCACGTGTCATAGATTATAAAAAACACACGGCACACACCCCTCGCCAAAATTTGTTTACACCGATCATGGAGAACAAGAACGCGTACTATCTTTTGGGTTACGATCAGGACGTGGTAGAAGAAACCCTTACATTATTGGCAGAAGGCAAAAAGCACCCGGAGCGTCCCATTACCACCAGCGTCGTGGAACTGGTACACCTCTTGTAGGAAAATAAGAAAGGAGCGAGACATGCAAGACTCTTGAATGAAGAACGGAAACGTGAAAAGGTCCGTGAAAATAAGAGACATAGTTGCGAGAAAAAGAGACACTTGAAAAAACTATTGAAAATGAAAGAGGTATGCTTTTTTTTTTTATCTTTACAGATGGTTACGCTTTACGTGTTATTTGTGGACTCCCCGAACAATAATTTCCTTGTGGTACTTCATTCCATCGTGAAAACGACCATGGAAGTCATGAAAACGAGATTGCAAGCTTTGGTGCAACGGTGATTATCATTTATTTAATTTTACACAAAAATCATAATGCTATTTTTAATGTAACATTTTTTTATTTTTAAAAAACAGGTTATTGAAGGACATCGATAAGAAGGGGGAGTACATTATCAAGATACAATTAGAAGAATGGACGTGTCAAATCAAAGTGTAATAAAAGTTACATGATGCAACACAGGTCTGGTCTTACTGTTGCGTGCGTAGCGTGTGCCCAATCGTTTCTACTTATCTTACCCCCTCTCTCACGATAGGTTTAATATTTCTTTTCGTACTTGTCTTGTATGCGCTTGATTCAGTCCTCGGTGGGTCCTCGGGATGCGTTCAAATATATCATGTTCGCTCTTGGTATTGAAATACTCTTAATCACGTATTCTTACTACACGATCCAAGGGTCGTTTTCCATATATGGTAGGACGCGGAGAGAACAATACCCTTCCTATTTTTACATGGCGTCGTCTCAAAGGTTGTTTCCCATATATGGTAGGAGGCGGAGAGAACAATACCCTTCCTATTTTTACATGGCGTCGTATCAAGGGTCGTTTCCCATATATGGTAGGACGCGGAGAGAACAATACCCTTCCTATTTTTTTTTGATGGCGTCGTATCAAGGGTCGTTTCCCATATATGGTAGGACGCGGAGAAAACAATACCCTTCCTATTTTTAGATGGTGTCGTATCAAGCGTCTTCTCCTCGTCACTACTATTAAAAAGGACTGTCACACGTCTATTGGATCTCATTTTAGTCTTTCCCTTGGTCGCGTAAGGATGGTCGCCAGCTTACCGTTTCCAGTCCTTTCCATGTCGTTCGCGGGCTGTGGAGACATTGTTACCTCATAAAATATTATCCTCGCCACATTCCTCGTTGCGTATTCAGGTCAGTTTTTTAATCTATAGTTCAATCGGGTTGTTCACCTCCATGACCTCTATGGGTGCGCCTCTCTTCACAGAAACCATTGTATATGTAGAGGTTGTAAATATTATCGGGACTATGATATGGTGCCTCCTTGGTGGCTTTTCCTCATGAATTGGTGATTTTTTATTTTCATGGGAACGTTCCATAAGGTATCATTTTTTCTCTTTCTCACAGCATAC